CATTGGTATCATCAAAGTTTCAGTGGAAGAAAGGACGAGGAAAATGTCTTTATAAAAAAAATAAAATAGAAGGAATTGTTGAAAAAATTTGAAATTGTGTATGTCTAGTCTTAGATGTATCATGGTCTCTCTAAAAAATAAAGAACAAAAATTAAGGGAAAAAATGTGAAGTCATGCCAATCAAAGTTGGTTGGTGGGAGAGCGATTTCTACGCAATTGTGTGAAGTCCTGAATTTAAAATGTCAGAGCTACATGCTATGCTGTGCTGAAGTGGCGTGAGACATAGGAGTCTTGGATAATTTTGCAGCAACTTAGGTTGGTTTGTGATTATTGGTTCTTGTTGTATTTTGAATGGGATTTACAAACTGCCCGTATTTCTGTGCCTGTAATTGTTGCTGTGTATTACAGAACGGGTGTCTGCCCCTTGTACTTGTAAGTGAACTTGAAGAAATTTTGCTGGGATGACTGTATAATAATACAGGATTTTTTTAATTATTATTATAGACCCTGAAGCGACAGAGCCAGTTGGCACTTTATTTATTTAACACTATTTTAGCTCATGGAGATCTACGAAACAACAAACTAAACCAGCTTTCAGTAAATCTCTGGAATCTTGCTCAGAAACATGGCTTTGCTGACACCAAGACTATGGTAAGGAATACTGCAGAGATTCTTTTCCAACTCCTTATTTGGGAAAAGGTTGCGCTACTTTCTTGATCTGAATAAAATATAATATAAATCCTGATATAAATCTGAACAAACTCTTTACAACTCACTGTCATTTTTATTTTTTAATATGTGTAAATTAGGTTAAAAAACAATATGTTTTTTTCATGCTTCTTAATGAATAAGCAACTTATCTTATTTGGAGTAGTCTACTATCTTTCTTGCATTGTAAAAACTATTTCATCTGTTAAAGGGCCTGGAATTATTGGGTGCTGCACTTTTCAGTACAGAAAACATAAATTTCAAAAGAAACAGAACATTTTTATATAGTGGAGGAACTGCATGGTATAAACCTAAAAAGTAGGCATTTTAGAGCCTTTCTTAAGGAAGATATACACGATAAGGAGTTCTGGAGTCAGAAATGCCAGCAGTTGCATATCCAGTGAAATTTAGGGAGAATCACAGGAGTGTCTATTAAAATGTCTTCAAGTAGCATACATGATGGGCTCTGAAATAAGAAAAGACACAAAATCTCAAAATGCCTTTCTTTTTCATACCCAGGTAAAAACGCTAGAATACATCAGGAGACGAAGCAAACAACCTGAGATGAGTCACTTTGCAGACTTGGCTCTTCGGCTTCCTCTGCAGTCCAGAACCTGATGAATACCTCTTTTCCAAGGAGTCATATGTAAAGTGAGCATGTAGCCAAGGCTATAAATCACGGATTCTTCTGGTTTTTGACTGGAGTTTGGTGTATTTTAATTCTACTCAGTGTGACAGATTTACTTGGACACAGGTAAAACTGTTCTGAGTGCAATAATTTAGTCTGAATTTGTTTCCAGATCTGCCATTATATACTCATTTTAAATCCGATTTAGTTTCAGTAAAGGGTACTTTGAACCTCTGTGGTTGCAAAAGCCTTTCCAAATCTAATCTGTTGTCATTTTAGTGACAAAGGAAGAAGATAATCTGCACGGATCAATTCACAGCCTCCAAACTTCAACCTGCTTGCAGAACAGTCTTTCTCCTGTGTAGAAAGCAGTATTTCAATATAGTAATCCTACTAAGTCATCTTTCTGCTTTGGGATGCTGCCAACATTTGTTTGGTCAGTTCCAGTAAAAGAGAAAAATGGCTGAGATGTTAGTGTTCTAATTTCTACCATACATTTTCACAGACATGTTTATGCTTTCATTTTTAGTTCAGTGGTGTTTTGTAAAATGGAGGGAATCTTTAAATGTTGTTTGCAAAGGAAAATGGAAATGTATGCAAAGTACTCCATGTTCTCCAGTACACTGTATCACGGAATAAAACAATTTGCAGCTCACCTATTTGTTCTGGGGGAGTTTCTTTGTGTATACAAATTTATCACCTTACCATTCTGTAATTTAGCTGTATGTACTGCTTTTATTCCTAATAAATTTCACTCTTGCCACTTCTGTCCCATGGTAAAGAATCGTGTTGAGATCTTGCATCTATTGCTACTTCTGCTTAGTGGTAAGTATTTTAATGAGCTAAGTCATATATATTGAGATGTATATTTGCACAAAAATGTTTTATTTTGTTAAGGTTAAACATATAATCAATTTTGCTAGAACCATATATTCAAGGAGTTAGCAGGCTATTAATAAATACCACCCAAATTACTGCATCGTTCTTGTGTAGTTTTCATCTCTTCAGTAGCTACTGAAACAAGGTATGTATAAAATATGCATTTTGTGTTCAGGTTGTAAGGAATTAAACTAGGACCCTTTGGTAACATAGTCTTGTACAAACTATATATATGCATGTGTATCTATACATATGCAGAGTAAAATTGCAGAAATACAAGATAATTATGAAGTAGTATCAACTCAATAGAGAACCTTTCCGACTTGTAGTGTTCATCTTCATTATATTGGCTTTCCTTAGATAATTCTGTACAGTGGACACACACAATGATATGGCAGTACTGCATGTATTATCATGCCTCAGTTTAATTTAGCTTTCCTTCTTGCTGCAGCTGCACAAAACAACCTTCAACAGCACATGGCCAACTCTTCCTGTTGGACCTGGAAACTTTACCCACAAACTAGGTAAGTGGTATTGAACTGTGAATTGTCTAAACAGCCAGGTGGGTCACACTAGAAGCAGTTGTATGTCAGAAACTGCCCTCCAGGGGCAAATGTCCTGCTACAAATCCAGTGTGGAAATTCTGTAGAATGGAAACTCTTATGGCAGGCTTACCAATGGCCCAGCTGTTCCTCTTCACCATACAGACACCAATTTCTGCCTGTTGTCTTTTGAGCACAGTATAACTTTATTTATTGATGTAAGACTGCCATGAGGAATGCTTTCAAATGTTTTATTGATGTTTTTATTGGTGCAAAAATAGCTCAATGACATCCAGAAGGCTCTAGTTATCAGGAGAAAACTCAAAACATCTAGCTTAGAAGCTAGCACCACCATTCTAATCAACTGCTTTTGGCTTACTTCCATGTGAGAGCAAAACTAATTTTAGTTAAAGCACTTCACTCACTATAGACCTGAATTTTCTCCTGTATATATTAAATATGCAGACTAGAGCAAGTTTGACTGCTTGAACAGTTATTTTTCCCCAGATACCTGTGTTGTTTTTCAAACTATGATGTTTTCACGTGCATAATGTTATTAAGAGCAAGGTGCCAGGAAGTTGAGCAACAGACTTATATGTGATATGATCCCAGAGAGGGGAAAGAAGTCCTCATCCAAAGGCAAGTCCAGGACTACCACCACCTTCAGCATCTTCATTGGTGGCAATGCAAGACCAGTCACTACATATCCAAGACTGGCTCTGCAACAGAAATCCGTACGTGCTTTCCTGTCCCACTCTTCCCAAAGGAAGTCATTCCTTGAAATTTTCCTACCTGTTCCATTATAACTACTTCTTTGCTAGGCAAGCAGTTGAGGACCTGAATTCAGCATTTGTCTTAAATCAGAAAACACAGCCTCCACTACTTGAGGCAAAGCAGCAGCTGAAGACTAGAAAGGCTGGCTGATGCCAGTCACCCAGCTTTGAGAAGCACCGGTGCAAATCAGGCTCGTGCTGTCGTAGTGGTGGTTTTAAATAACACTTTAAAGGTGATGGTTTCCTCGAAGCAAAGCCTGTTGTAGGAAGTAGTTCAGCATCTCCTTCCCAGGTATGGGAAAGAATTCATGGCAACTGCTTATGCTGGAGCCTCTGTATGATTTTTAACTTCCCCTTAAGAGTTGCCCAAAATGCACCGGAACAAGTGCTGTTTTGCAAGTGTATTTTCTCCCAGGAGTCAGCTGCTTTCAGGTAGAGAGTCCAATTGAAAAGGCTATTGTGGAAGGTAAGGTTGCTTTAGAACAAGAAAATAAACAGATTAATAGGCATGATCTTATGAAGAATAATAGGTAACTGCAGGAAAACAGTGAAGTGGGTAACTAGAGACAATAACCTGAGCTGGGGCATAGAGGGGTTCCCCTGCAAGGAGGCCACTGTTACTACAGCAGGAATAGACAGAAGAGACGGTCACCTGGTCCTGCTCCACAACGAGAACTTCACCAAAACTTAGGGAACACTAGCTCCTGTAACGGATGGCACAGACAGTAACAAAATATGAGTTTTCCCACTATCTCTGTAACTTCCTGCAAGACACTGAGACTGCTTTGGACCCTAAAATTCTGAATACAACATATACAAATGTACTCTCGTACTTTGTACTCTTAAAGTCAGAGTGCAGGTTGTCTGGAAGACTGAATATTAGAAATTTCATTCAAACTGACATATACTGCACCCAATAAGCACATTATTGAAATTACCTTGCTTTCTATAATTTAGAAAGTCTAGATCCATGTATTTTGTGCTGCTATCCACAAAGCATTTAGCTCTATGTACAAATAACAGCTGCTTCTTGAAAATCAAACTGCACAGTTAAAACAAACAGGATGTTCAACAGTATTTGTTATTATATTGAAGATACTAATATTTAAGAAATCACTTTCAGAGTTAAGTTTCCCCTGGTCAAATTTGTTGGCATACCAGTAGTGTTTCTTCAAAGTAAGAAACCATTGCTTTGAACCACTCATTGAGTGTAAGAATGTGAAGATTTTACAGAATGCTAAAATCCTTCTGTATCACAACGATGCAGCTAAAAATAAGCCCATGAAATCAGCATTAAAAAAAAAAAATTGTAGGCATTGTCCACATATCTTCAGTCTTTGAGGGAGGCTGGCTCTTGACAGAAGAAAATATTGTAAAGGTTTCAAAAACTTACTGTTGAGCTCAAGTGAGGACCCAGCTCCACATAATCTGGAACAGCCAGCTGTAGATTTGTACTAAAAAGGCCTCATGTCAAATTTGTTGAACATGTCAAATTTTATTTCAAGTAAAAAAAATTGTGGGAAGTGAAATTTACCCATTTAATTTTCATTCTTTTTATTGCTTCAGAGTTCTAATCTTCAAATTTTATAGATCTAGATGTATATTTGTCTATGTACACTTTTTTGGTGGCAGCAGGCTGAAATCCAAGACCGATTCTTCTATGTTGTTTCAAGTCCATTGCTTTATCAAATTCCATCTTCAGAGCCTGCTGTAATTTTTCCTCCCCTTCCTTGTTCAGAGCCATGTTTGGTTTGTTTGTAGTTGCTGAGAGATCTTGGGTAGGTGCAGAGCCCTTTTTAAAACCACCCATCAGTCGAAGAAATTTCATTCCTCGCTCAGAACTTTGAAAAGCAGCTGTACTCCACTGGCCAATCTTTGTATTCTGTGAAACAAAACAAGACGAACACTAAAATACTACCTTGAGTAAGGAAGACAATTTCCAGTTGTGCACTGTGAGAACACAACCAGCCACCAGAAACTGACAGAGCTAACAATGCTAGCAGTCATTCATGTCTTGAAGGGTGTAATTAAAGAATGACATAACCATGCATGGGTGCATCTTCATTAGCTCATTTAACCTAGAGACAGAGTTTGATGCACTTTCAGAATCTCTTTTCCCTCTGTCTTTAGAAAACCTGACTTTTCTGCTCTCTGGGTAATATTCCCCTAACTCAGAGTGCCAGACCTTGTCCCACCATTTCTCTTACTTTAAGACAATTGTAAGTTTTACCTTTTTCTCACTTTCACGGTTAACTTTTCATCTTCCTACATAAGTAGCTGTTGCTTCTGCACTATTTTGTTGCATTAATTTAAGAGATGGTATTCCATCCGGCTCATATGCATCAAGGAACAATTGCATTCTCATCCCCCTAGTTAGCAATTATACTGCAAGGGTGCAAAAACTGAAGGTATACCCTTAACCAACAGGACTAAACATAATACTCTTAAAACCTCACCTCGATTGCAGTTTGTTCTTTCCATAACTCTGCCTCTCACTGTATTCTTTACCTATTTCACTCCAGCATTTTTTTCTTGCCTGTAGATATTGGCTCCTTTCTGAGACTATAGGTAACATCCAAGTAAAATCAGAATTCAACTACTTGTTTGTGTATAACCCAAGATACAGGGTACAATTTAGAAAGCTTATGAACTTTTGGCTTACCTAAGACCATGCTTCATTACCAAAGGATCTTATTTGACTTCTGAGCTATAGCTAGGAGCTATGCAGTCATTTGTAACTACTTTTGGCAAGAACTGCTACTCCCTTTTTTCTTTAAAATTGGGGGTGATATTAAATGGAAGAATGCTTGATCATTAATTAAGCAGACTGATCTGGATGCATCAAAGAAAAAAATGAATCTAGTGGTGTGTTTGTGAGCCTGAAATCCTTCCAACTGAACAGTTGTAGTTTGCATGAAACAGTCATTCTCCACTGGACAGCCAGCACAACACACAGCATGCTATACAACATTGCAGGCAAGCTGTGGCAGGTTTTATAAGTTATTGAAAGATACTCCAGCCCTATATTTCTATATCACAGGCCAGAATACTTCTCATAAAAGAAAGTTATCCCTAATACTTTTGATAAAAGAAAAAAAAGTTGCCATATAAGCCCCCGTCTGTGTCATGGAAGCACACACGTGATAGTCCTCTCTTTGGAATGGGAGACAGATACCTGCACAGATGCAGAAATCAAACCCTGTCAAACCCTGTAATTTTTTTAAGTGAACTGAGAGCAAACACTACACAGAACTTTTGCTGCAGCATTTCAGGCTCACTATGTGTGAAGCTCATGATTTAGTTTTCATAGCTTGTATTCTTCTATGTACTAATAAACAATAATATATTAGCCCAAAGAAAGGGGATCCCCTGCCAAAAAAAGTAATTTTTCCTCAGTGATTTCAGAGACTACTAGATTGCTGTGAGCTGTGCAACTGCAACTATCTGCCTCCCACTGCATAAGAATGTACATGAGTTATTTCTGGGATTTTGTTGAGGTCTTACTTTTTAGGCAAACTGGCACTCCTGGAGAACAGTTTTGCAGACAACTAAGAATCCTTAATTATTAGCAAAGCTTTCTCTCCTCCTGAATCTTATTACTTCTGCTGAACATTGTTGGAACAGCTACATTATTGTATGGCAAACCTGCCAGGAGGCAGGCACTGTAGGATGCAAAAACAAAGAATAAAGAATCATCTTTCAAAGAGGTGGAAGAAAGATGCAGAAGTTAGGAAAGTACTGCCTGTAGGTATCACAGACGCAGTGTCAGTTATCATCTCTCTCACCTTTCCATGTACATCCTCATTTCTGTGTCTGCAAATTCTCCCGGATAGCAATTCAGATAAAATTCAGTGACAGCTATGTCCGTGGCCTAGAATCATTTATATTTCACAGTAAGCAGAAAATGTTTTTGCAGCAATTCACCATGGCTAGTTCTCCAGAGGAACCAGAGAAAATGCTGCTTTTGAGGACTGATGATGGGAATCAGATCTCTGTACAATTCACACTGGAGTTTCACTGGTCAGCTCTCAGATTGCCTTAGTATTCGTTCCATACCATGACCTTACATTCAAGCATGTAATTTGTTCTATAGCATGACCTGAAATTTACAATCAAACTGTGGTGCCAAGCCACGTGCATGAGCTGCATAAAGAAAACTGTGCAATTTTCAGTATTTTTTTTCAGGAACTTGCTCTGGGACGCTGCTTCCATCAGATCAAGGTCTAAAATCATACATACCGTTTGCATTTTGGAACCATAAACTTCAGTTTTTCCAGATTCTCTATCAATTTCTTCTTGTAGAGCCTGCCGCCTCGCCTAGCATGCAGAAAAATCAATGAAAGTCACTGCCTTCAGTGTGTTTAATGACAATTTAATTCAAAGTAAAAAGACGAGGGAAGAATAATATGGTTACTTATCTTCAGTATTTTGCAAGGATACTTAAAAAGTTGCATGTGATCCCCTTTCACACGCAGCTTAAGAACTATGCTTTTTGTTGTGGTATTTTAAATGGACATTTTGTAGTATCAGGTATGTTTAATCTTCTAACTGCAGGTAACAGCTACACTGAAACTGACAACAGTGATGAGGCAGAGAAACCTGTATTTAACCAAATAAACTACTTAGAAGCTTCTGACATTGACTGGAGCTGTACATTTTGGATTTAACCCGTAAGAGGTAAAGCACATTTTAAGTAGAGCTCTACTTAGAGACATACTGGCATAGACCAGCAACAAAGCAGTATTTTTGTTACAAATTCTAGGTAGACCTTAAATACTTATTTGCTTTAAATCACACGTAATTAATACAGTGCATACCTTGTCTATATTAACTTCATCACAGTTTCCTTTTTTTTCCTGCACAATAGTTACATCATCACTATTTTCCTGTAAAATGGGAAAAAAAAAACAACTGTATGAATATAATCCATTCTTGTTAATTAGAATTTATACAAGAATAAACAGTAAAAATAGTAAGGAATGCAGTAGTATTACTTGGGGGGCCAGAAGAAATAGTCAGACCTAAGCTGGAAATGCCAACTGAACCTGTGCATTTCTTTGAGAAGGATTTTCTCTCAAAGAAAACTTTCACAACAGATTTTTTTTTAAGCAAAAAGGGTGGGGGACTTAAATTCACACATAAAAATGGACCTGCCAACATTACTGGTGCATATAGTAACATTTACAGACAGGGTCATTTCAAATTAAAGACTTTTGTAGGAGCTGAAATTGAAATAGGGGACAGAAAGGAGTGGAAAAAAAATTCAACCAGTAGTAAGATAATGGCCCCTCTAAATGCACGTGACAAGCTTGGATCATGTCGATCCCACTAGCCACTGCTCAAAATAAACAAAACCACTCGAGAGGCAGCTGGTTTGTACTTGTCTTGTACAAATGCAGAATAGGTGATGGTCCTCAAGGAGCTTCCAGTCTGGAGAGTATGGGGAGAGGCATGACACGTACATAAACTTTCCCTGGCGATGGCAGCAAACAGCACAATAGTTCCACATTTGAGAGTGAGAAACAGGAACCTGATGTTAAAGACTGAGCAACTACAGCAGGAATGGATAGGCAGGATGGCAGGAGGTAAATCCACAAGCTGTTACTGGTAACTCTTCACCATAGCGCAGCCGTACAGCAGCTTGTGCTCCTAATGACTGGAGTTTTAAGATCACTGCCCTTGGTCTTTCTTTTCCAAATTTGTAGTAAGGATAAGATTGTTGGGCACCCAGTGTAATAGGTAAGTTTTAAGTCTAGGATAGCAGTAAATTAGAGCCATAAGCTTTAGACCAGCCTGGAAAAAGCGGCCAAAGGGAAGATCTATTGATACAGCTAACACAATAATCCAAGCATGAAATAGCCAGGGAACATTAAGACAAGGAAAAGATTTGTAACATACTTCTGTCAGCAGAACCTGCTGTTACGTTTTTGAGGGTTTACAGTTTTATTTAAAGCCATGAATGATTTACCTCATTTTCCAAGCTACCTTTTACACACTGATTTCACACACACTCACAAGTATATCCATTTACAGAAAGGAAAATACCGTCTGCAATGAGGAGAGCTTGCTCTCTTAACTGAAAAAAGAAAAAAACCAAAAACCTTCTAGATGGCCTGGTACTGTCTTTTCAGATCTCTTAATACAAGCAGGAAAACTGTCAAGACAAGATTCTGCAAACAGCTGCACTGGATTTTTTTTTATTTTTTAATTTTTTTTAAAGCTGGAATGGTAAGTGGCAGACAAGCAAGAAGGATTGGTTTTCCCCCTTCCTTGCTAATTCACAGCATGTTTTTGACCTACTGAAGTTCACTGAAAGGCAAATATAAACCCCTGTTGGGGGATGTGCAGGTCTCTTCTTCCTCAAACTTCCTGGAAGGGGAGCATATTCACACATGGAAGGTTATGCTATCTGCAGCCAAAAAAAAAAAATCAAAGTAAACTGGACCCTTTAACACTGGATATGCATTTGTTGTATTTGTCATTTGACTCTCCTTGAACTCCCTAACAGTATGAAGTCTCTTAAACACAAGGCATGCCAGACGTCATGGTAGCACCTTTGCTGTGAAGTTAGGAGTGCTTTCTTAAAAGGGAGAAGATCCTGTGCAAGCACAGTAGTAATGTCCTTGTCAGAATGACCACCCAAGCCCCGCGCCTGCCAACCAAATGGACCAGTTTTTGCTCACTCTCACAGTTATTTCCTTCTAATGTCTACAGAAAAACTGAGAAGTTCAAGACCGCAGGCTGTTCCCACAGACATCAGTGGCAGTATTCATTCAAGTGAAAGAGGACTGAGCCTTGGATGCCCACGGCTGGCATATGTTCTCCTCCCACACACACTCTAGGCTGGTAGCCCAGTGTGCTTGTACAAGCTGCCCGTGTTGTTCTACAAGCAATGCAGTTACATCTACAAAATGAGGGAGCACTAACAGTGACAAATAATTATTGGCAAAACATTTTCAGAAGCTGTCATCTCCGTTTTCATATTTTAACAAAGGGACTGAACGCCACCTGCTCCGTACTATCAAGGTTTAGCACACAGCAGCCTGAGAAGTGATGACAGCACGTGACGAGTTCACTGTAGGTACAATCAATTCACATTCACTTTTCTCAAAAACTTCTGTATGTTAGCATACAGCAATCTTAGAGTTAACGTTGTGTATGTTATGTATTAACTGATGTGTTTTGTATTGTCTTTCTTTCTCTGGATTATTTCAGCCTCCTTACTTTGAGTTGCCCGTAATGGTATCCAATGGGGAAAACATGAATCTCTGACACGAAGTGGGTAGCATTCCACACACTCTTCATAAACTTGCTACTCTGCTTGCTGCAGAAGCCCAACAGAGGATTTTTCAAGGTATGCAGCAGTGTGTGTCATGCAGTGTACCCTAGAAAATGGTTCAGGACTGCGGCACAATTAAATGCAAGACTGACATGATCAGCCATTTATTGCAGTGGTGTCTTTTGGCCTGGCAGGAACCAGATTTCTCTAGAACAAATTAAATTACCTGGAGTTTGAAATCTTGAGAATTTCTCTAAAGTAGCTTTTATAATGTACCAAGCTGAATATGGGGAAGAGGAATAAAGAATGCATCACCCTACCCCCTTTCTCCTCAGTAGTTTGCAGGGCATTTGTTACATTTTCCATAATTAGATAGTACCATCAGGAAGGTCACTTATCATTTTAAGACTTATCTTGCCTCCACACACGTGAGCAGCTGCAAGAATCCAAGTAGTGTCCAACCATCTCAAAAAAAAAATGTAAATTTAATTAAAGGATATATCCCAGCGATAAAACCACCCTGACTTTTGAAAGCTCAAAAGGAGAAACCTAAGTTTAAAAAAAAAAAAAAAAAAAAAAAAGCATCTGCTAGTCTAGACATCTCGATGGTCTAAATTTTGGAAAACTTTGAAGAAACCCCTGTATTTGATATCTTTCATCTTTTAAATACATCAAACAGATCTGTTCTCCCCATTATTTCATCAGTTCCTCTCCATGTTTACTTCACCACAGAAATAGCAGTACTCAAGGATTCTTGGATGAGATTTCCTTTAACAGCCTGGATACAGTTCCATTTACCTTGAGTTAAATTCACACAGCTCTTAAAATCTATTTATTTCTAGTTTTGCATAGTTGTTTCTTTCCCCTCCAAATTATGAATGTGTTCTAGTTTTTGTTTAGTTTGTTCCCTAGTACTTTTTATCACAATTTAGACATCAATGCTCTGGGTCTACTCTATATTTAGGATTTTCTCTTAAGTTTCATCCAAGTTAGATAACACGTTTTGGCTAAAATTCCCCCCTTGGTTTCTAACACTATACAGTTCCAGTAGCAACAGCAGCAAAGTCTCAAGGAAAAGAGTCTGTCTAGGAGTTCGAGGTATTCATGCCACCACTTTTACATACCTGCTCTGGTATTCTGTTTTATATGATTGTTACCACTTTTTAAAGAGCTAATGAAAGACACAAGGACATTTATAATTATATACCAGCATTCTTTCTGTTCCACTATTTGCTGTTAAGCGATTTATGTTATTTTGTATTTTCACAATTGAAACACTAAACTACTACAGCACTGGGCATAAAAAATAACTTTCCTGTTTCACAAATATTATGTGCTATAATCAATAGATTATCTGATGCTGTGTGCTGTTCCTAAAAACCCAGAGGAGGCCCCCATTGACCTTAGTGTAACAGTCAGAACAGCCTGCAAAATAGGGAACTGATGATGTAAGATGCTTTCAATTCCTTAGCAGGAGGGTGCAGATACCTTCTTTACAACTTACCGATGCCTCTTTTCCCATGTCTTCTCCTCTGATCTTTTTCTGTTTTATAGTTGCTTTTGAACCTGATTCTTCTGCAGAGTCCCGTGGTACTTTTTTTTCCCCTTTTTTGTCACAGGGCATGTGATTGGAATTGCATAATACTGTATCTACAATGTCCCTTGTGGCACATTCTGCTAGCTTCATTTCGGTCTCTTTGTTCTTTTTGTTGCTTTCTAATAGTGTTATTTTTTGGCTGTTAGATGCGTTGTCATTGCTTAAAGAAACTTTTGAGTAAGTAGTTTCCTTGTCCTTTTGAATCTTCTTTTTCTTCTTCTTCTTGGTTACTTCACTATTATCTTTGTTATTCTTCCAGCATTTTTTTCCAGACAGTTCTTCCTGCTCAGACTCAACTTCTTGCTTATCTTCACACATTAAGGAGAAAACATCTTTGCTTTTCTTGTTTTTCTTCTTCTTCTTGGTCTTTCTGATAATTTCAGAATTCTCAATAGTTTCTTCTTCCTCTTTATCCGTGAATGTAATTTCCTTTCTTTGTCTTTTTCTGAAGTCACTTAATGCAGTGGTTCTATCATGAACTCCACAGATATCCTGATTACCTGCTAGAGGTAAAAAGGAGTCAGGCTTCTTTTTCTTCTTCTTCCTCTTTTTTCTTCTCATACAACCTTCCTCATCACTCTGAGTAATATGTGTTCCACGACTTTCATCAATAACAGCTTTCTCTTCTGAAATGCATGTGTTTGTTTTTTTACAGTCTTTTTTAGAATGCTTATATGCATTGTCCTGGATGTCCTCTAATGCTGAAGAAAAAACATCTTTCTTCTTTTTTTTCTTAGTTACTTCACTACCCAGTTTCAAATTCAAAGTGACATTCTTTCTGCTTTTTTTGAAAAAAAGTTCATTTCCCTGAGTACCATCTGTATAATGATTTGAAAGCTCATCACTGCTGTGATTACTCTCCAGTGAGAAGGAGGCACGGCGTCGATCTTTTTTTCTCTTCTTTTTGAAAATCTTAATTTGTTCCTCCGATTCCTCTTGTTGTTCTACATCCAGATGGCCTTCTACATTCACAAAGCTTTCTGAACGTGTTTCTTTTGGTAATTCAGAGCCAACTTTCTTTTTTTTGTTTTTCTTCTTCAGATTTAATTGATCTAAACATTCATCTTCTTTTAAACTTTCCTTTTTCCTGGCCTTTGTTTTTGTCTCAAACCGGTCATCATCCCCTGCTTTAATGACACTTGGAATGCCTTTCTCAATGTTAATGATAGTCTGGCTCCCACTACGTTTCACTCTTTTATTTTTCTGTTCAGGTTCCTCGTGAATTTGTTTTTTCTTTCTCTTCACTGTCATTCTAAAAAATGAAATAGAGATGTTAGCGTACAGCTTCAACACAATGATGCAAATCCTAGCCTATTTTTATTCTGAAAGCATTCAGTATCTCTGACTGCAAACCTGGAAAAAAGCGTCAAGGACGATCTGCTTTCTGCAATGGCAGGAACCAGAACTGTCAGCAGCACTGAAACTATAGTTACTGGAGTGGTGAAGGGGTGACTTTTTGTCTTAGTGATGTCCTAGTTAGTTTTGTTAACTTTTTATTTGTCTTTTTGACAGCTGCTGAGCATATTTTCACAGAAATATCTACCCTCCAGAAATCCTTCCTAACAAGATACATACATACATATGAAATCAATCAGTAAGTATAGTGAAGGTGGATTTCCACACCGGTATGACCTTTCATTTACACGTGTTGAACTTCTCATCACTTCATCTACCGCTTACTACCACAGGATTGTTTCAAACCACTGCAGCCATCACCTCGTACTTGTTCCTGCCTGCAGCTCCATGGCCTTGCTACCCCTTTCCTTTCTCGGGACACTCACACGTACGAACAGGTTAGAGCAGAGACGCCTTTGGGGCCCACGTGCAACACTCCCTCCCTTTGCCGAAAGCCCTATTTATGCCTGTTTGCATCCCATCTTTTAACCAATAATTAATCCACAGGATTTCCTGAGGTGCCCCTTGTCGAGCTTTTTTAATGACCCGGTGCTGAGGGGCGCACCGCACCCGAGTGCTGCGCCCCCCCCCCCCGCCTAACCCCATTTTATTTGACCCACCCCCCCGGCACCGCGTGCTTCCCAGCGCGGGGGACGGCTAACCCGCCTCCAGCTCCTGGTTTCAGGCGATTTCACCCGGCCGCCCCCCTTCCGAACCCCTCGCACGCCCCGCAGGCACACAGGAGCCCTCGGCGCGGAGGCCGCCGCTCACCTGCCGCGGCCCATGTGCAGCGCCCGCCGCCCCGGAAGGGGAACGGGAGCCGGGCCCGGGGCCGCCTCCCGCCGCGGGTAATGGCGGAGCGGTTGCCGTGGCGACGCGGCGCGGCATGGCGGCGGGCGGGCGGGCGCTCAGCCTGTGGCAGCAGCTGTGCGCAGGTGGGCGCCGCTCCTCTCAGCCGGGCCTGCCCGCTGTGTTATGCTGTGTTACGGTGTCCTGCTGGGCGGCCACACCGGCACCGGCTCGGTTCGGGTCAGCTCCGCAGCCCCGCGGCCGCTCCGTGGCGGCAGGGACAGGGGCGCGGGCAGGCTCCCTGAGGCCGGCCCCGAGCTCTGCTGAGGGGCAGGGCAGCAGAGCCGGCCCCGGGCAGGCAGCCTCTGGCCTCAGGAAGCCCTTCTGCTAAACTCTGTCCAGCCTAAAAAAGCCCTTTTTGCTAAATTCTCTCCTGCCCCACAAAGCCTTTTCTGGCAGCTGAGAGCAAGTTCAAATGTGTTTTTACTCAGGAGCATTAACGTTATTTTGATGGCCAGCATCTTTCAGAAATGTAATCTTGGTGCCTGCTTCTGTCCTGTGCTGCCTGTAGGGCCAGAAGTATTAGTGCAGGCCTAAGGAAGCAATAACAACATTGCCTCTGTTTGGCGAGGCGGTAATCTGCTCCACAAATGAATCCAGTGCTGTGCTTTGTGGTGACAAGGGAGTTAGATTACTGCCTTGGGAAAGCAAGAGAGACGACAGGATTATTGCTATTATCATTGGTATTCAGCAAAGGCAAAACTCACGTTATTACAACCTGATTCTAATAATAGTCTTGGTCTTTTTCCCAAACCTGAGGTGACTGAAAATGTTGAGGAGCTGAGACTCCACCTCTGTTGTTCTGTGGTGTCCAAATGATGTTTTCTTCCGTAGTGCTTTGCAAAGCCTTAAAGTAGGTATTTCACGTAAAAATGGCCATTTGTTATGTAGTAATAAAATTTCTTTTCTAATGTGACTCAGCTGAGGCATCTGCACTACCTACAGAAGTGATGATGCCAGTAAATCTCATAATTAAAATGGTGGAGTGGTAAACCTGCTGTTTTGCCTGTAAGAGTCTTCTGTCTTCTGTTTTTGTGTAATCTGTATGTGGTGGCTTTTTTTTCTTTTCTTTTCATATCAGGTCCATTGGCCTTCTCTGTTCTTTTTCTTATCCTGATTCACTCTAACGTAAGTGGATCATGTACTGCTTTTGCATTGTTTTTTGCAAGTGGAGAGAATAGAACTTAGCAATGTCCTGGGCATTTCATTGCTTATAGATGAAGTTGAAAAGCAGTACTATATACTAGTAAAACTGATGATTAATGCCATGAAAGCATCTGCATTTTACTTTTATTAAAATATCCTAAATTATTATTTTGGTCAAAACTATTTTTCCCAATAGAGGGTTATTTTATCACTTAGAACCTTGAACTTGAATTAAAGCCAAGGCAAGAGGCTTTAAAGTTCTCCCTTGTTTAAACACTTTAGATTCCCTATTAAAAAAATACTGATGTTTATTGTTTCAAACTAGCATAAATACCTCTAGAAAGTAATACTTATTTAGAATAAAAATAAGTGTTTTTAAAGTCTCTTGGATAAATGCTGTGCTTCTTTTTACTCAGAGTATGAAGCAGAACAGCCTCTGTGTCCAGATATTCCTGAATCAAAACGACAATCTGTGAGTATAGTTCTATTAAAAACGTTCATAGGGCCTCCTGTTTTAAATAACTAAATGGGAAAATTAGGTACCCGCAGAGTAGTCTTATTCATAAAATGAAAACAAAACTACATTTTGTAAACAACTTTTGTGAATTAACAAATGCAATATTCCAAATCATTGCTTTTATTTAAAGCAGCTTGGGTACTGCTGTCCTAAAATTAGATTACCAGCTGTGTTTGGTTTGTACGGCTCACTGTCTTTTTGCTACGACTGTCTGCTTTGCAGGCAGGAGTCAGAAGTATGCAAGGATCTCTTTCTGGTGGTGTCACAAGCAGACTGAGTTGTGAGATATGCAAAAGAGGAGTAAGCATAGCGAAGGAGTTAATGCCCCACTTTCACATACATAATAGAGCACTATTATGTGGACACTGTACTCAGCAGAATTAAACTTGATCACACTTGGTCGAAGTCTAATTTTGACCAAGTAAAATCAGTCTAGGAAAACTTGGTTGGCAGACAGAAGCAGTATGTAATTTAAGAAGGACAAACCCATTTATCTCTTTGTCCCCAGCATTTCTATGGGCAGGAAAGTTAATTATTTTGAGCATCACATATCATTTAAACTAGCTATCTTTTAGATGCTTTATCTTATTACACTGCATTTAGTTTATTTTGTTATTTTAAAAATCAAGACCTTGTAGTTAAACTTGTCTGACCCTTGGTAGGTTTAGACCTTTATATAATGTATCCTGTTTCCCTAAGTGAAACGAACTTTCATCACAGGACATTATTAAATTGGAATGGTGAACTCTGTTTGGGACATTTATTAGTCTGGGCATAATTTATTGATGTATTTGCGCATTTAACGTCAAAATGTAATAGTATATCTTTTTATGTTTATGTGTACTTTTTTAATTTCCAAAAGGATCATTTTATGAACTTTGTATATGGTAATGTATGTAATATGGCAGTCATTGACATGCAGAGTATAATAAGCTTGGTGGCCCGATGGCATAGTTTTCACAACACGTTTTCATACCAAATGTAATGCTAGTGCATTCTTGGGTATAATAGGAGGTATCTGAATTTCTGTGACAGTTCACTGTCTATAAGAGTACTCTTCTGGCTCACTGTAACAGTCCGTGTGTTCCTAAAAACAGAAGTAAAATGGTGAACTATCTTTTCTCATGGTGTCTATAATTGGTTCTGCATGGGGAAATTTAAGATTTGAATTTGCATCTGCTCTGAATTTGTCTGCTTGTGCTTTGTTTAAAAAGAAAGTTTATTTTCTTTAAAAGGTGCATGTCATGACTTCTGAACAATATAGAAACAAATATTTAAGCATCTGAATGGAAAAATAGTTATTCAGAAAACATTGCCAATTTTAATTTTCCAAAAATTACTATTTTATATAATGGATAAATTATTTTTTAAACTATGATACCTCAACAACTTCTTTTAAAAACATTCACGTACCTTCTGTTAGGTTTGGATGTTTTTTATTGAAATGGAAGCTACAAAAGAAGTGATTTTTTTAAGTATGCAGAAAATACTGAAATAACTTAATATTTGGTTTAGAAATTAGAACTTTTTTTTTTTTTTTTTTTTAATTAACTGAATGACCTTATATAGTTCTTCCTGTTGAATTGGTTCTATGTTTTTTTACAGTTTGATTGTGGTATTCTTATAGGCTACATTTATCTTGCATTTTTCTTGAACAGGTGTCTTTGGAAGCAGGAATGCTGCAGCCATTATGTATGGAACAATTTTACTCAGCCCCTGCAGCTGATACTGTTGTCCAACAGTTGCTTCCCGGTCCCGAGGCAGCCCCCCTTCCAGAACCACCTGATCCAAAAACGTGTAAGTAGGAATGCGTCATCTTGAACTCTGCTGTGAATATTTTTCTTGCATTTGACAAGGATTTGTCATTTGTTGCACTGAAAGTGTTAACAGCTACAAAACCTTTTCTGAAATGGAATTGCGCCGGAGGGAACCGGCTTGAGCTCTTTGTCAGTGGAAGAAAGCCCAAATGAGATGGTACGCATTTGAAATCTGTAACAGTGTCTAGCTGTTAAGGTAGTTCTACTCTCTTCTGATAAACTGACTTTTTATTTGGCCACTTAAATGAGAGAAAGACAAACGTTTCTGCCTCTAAATTAATAATGAAAAACTAGCATCAATAGACTAAACAGGTAATTAAATCTGAAAACTGCTTTCAAAATATCTTTGCCCAATTGATTACAAACCAGACATAACTGATTTGAGTAAAAACAACTCTAAAGTTCTGTTCTTCCATTTTTAACAATTTCTATGTATATTTTTATCAAATTATGAAGTAGTAATGTCACTTTTATTATGCATTTTAGCCCTACATTTGTCTTTTTTTTTCCTTCACCTTTTCCCATCACTTTCTCATTCTGTGTTTCATCTCTTCCATTCATTCTTGCCCATTAGGAATTCCTGTTGCTATTCAGGAACAGTGTTACCCTCAGGTTTTGTATATGTAGCGTCCTTCCAATTGTGAACATTTTCTGGCAGTATATGAACCAATTAAAAATATGAAGCAGAGGAAGAAATTCAGTGTTTCGTGTATTGCCAGAAGAGGAAGGTTGCATGACTTAATCTTAACTGCACACACTAAAACCTGAGTACTTACTGAATTGCAGGCAGTCTGGCTATAAATTGAGGACAATGCTTAGGCCAGTAAGCCAACTCTGCCTCTCTGAGATCCTAGCAGGTTCTATTTTGTTTCTGAGAGGATGGCTCGTACTGCTTTCTACAGGGTCATGCTCTCTGTTCCCTCAGGCCCAGTAAACTTCAGTTCCTCACCTGTGGTATTTTCATTTTAAGGGATAGATTTAAACCAGTTTATAAGTTGATGGTGAAAAGTCTTGTTAGGGAAGATGGGAATGTGGGGAAAAGCTAAGAAAGAAACACAGCTTGAGTCTCTTGGGAAGTGTTTAACTACTAGCCTGTATGTCGAACATGTACAATAGCACTGCTGATTTTTGTTTTGTTTTGGTTGTTTTTGTGATGCCAACTGGAGCTGCCTTCTTTTGCATGGAACTCAGTGATGACAACGTGCATGAGCACTTAGGAAACATGGCAAGTAGACCTCGGTGTAAGAGCAGTGCAGTCATATGAGAGGTGCCAACCTAGACAGACCTTTGACTGTGGCAAAATTGGGTATATGGAGAAATGTTCAAATTTCTGAAGGATCTGGGTAGGAAGTAGTTATGAGAAAGAAGTCACAGCACCACTAAAATACAACCTTTTTTCCCTCTGTCTAGAAAGTGAATTTTACAACCAACTGTATTACTGCAGATTGCAAAGGGCATGAGTAGAGATACCCAGAGAGGTTTAGCTGTAATGGCACTGAGTTTAGCATAGGCTCTTTTACTTTTCTTCCTGTCGGGGTAAATTAGTCTGCATTCCTCCTCATTTTCTATGCTAAGCTGCTTCTGGCATCTGAGTTTACTCATTTAAAACTAGTCTGACATCTCTGAGGCATGCTGTAGTTTGAAGTGTTAATGTACCTTTGGTTTGAAATTTGCTCAAGTTTATGTGTTCTTGGCTGAAGGAAAGGGAAGACAGATCTGTGGCTGCATCTAAACTGAAAGAATCTGTGCTTAGTTCAAGCTGCAATGGTATTGATAAAATGACTGATACTTGATTTATGCTATCTAATGTGTGTCTTTTTGTGATATCTGAGTGCTTCCCTCTAAGTGAAAGATGTGCTGTTTTGCTCAGGTTCTCCTCGAGAATACTTAGAGTATTACATCTTTCCAGTGCTCTTACCCGGACTGGCTGAACTTCTACATCAAGCAAAGAAGGAAAAGTGTTTTGAGGTTAGTTCTTAGTTTTCAGTTCAGATCGATGTCAGGAAGTCACAGCCTTTTATTTCACAGGCTGTATTTCTTTATTTAGTCTTTTACAAGAAAACCGATGACAATAATATGAAATAACATATCGAGAGTTGTTTCGGATCTTGCTAGCCTGGAATGTTCTTTTGTCTGGTAATTTAGAACACATTGCATACTCACCACACTTGGTCATTATGCCAATCTCTAGCTTGCATCTAATTCTCCTTAAATATTCAGTTACATCTAGCATAAGTAGTGTGATATTCCAGACAAACAGGCTTCCTTTCAGACTTGTACATGTCACTCGTATGAGAGTGATGTAAAGAACTTGAATTTTACTTAACTGAGTAATGAAATGAACTGTGTTATTTTTTCTGGTCTAACATCCTAAGATAGGTGTATTTTCTATTTTAGCTTTATAATTCTATATAAATTCTATTTAAGTGGAAAGCAGAGCATCATTAATGAGCTTATACAAATTGTACTTACAAAAAAATCCTAATCTTCTGTATGTTGTTACAAATTTGTTTGTGTGTGTGTGTAAACATATCTAAAGACATTCTTAATTGTATGTTGGGAATGCGTAAAAATACATGAGAACTGATACAAGATAAAGCTCACTGTATCAGCATAACTTAACTCGGTAATAGATTAGGAACTGGTAGTTGTGGGGTTTGCATCATTTCAACTATTTTCTCTAACTGTGGAAGTAATTTTTTTTCTATTCGTTTCTTACTTTCTGTTTGTCATGAACACTTTTAATTGTAAGGCTTTGCTCCTCTATGTTTTTATGCCCAACTGAATCTCTTCTTACTTGCTTCATAATATAAAGAGCAATTAACATAATTGACAATGAAAGTATCTTCCTTTTTGTACATGATGCATATCTGAGGAAAACAGTCTGTGCTGTTGGGGTTATAGATCAAAATGAAAGCTATGTGATTTTGTGTGGGTTACTAATCATCTTAGGTCTCAGTCTACCTCCGCTCCAACCACTGGCATATTCCTGTTACAGGCTTATATATATATATATGGCAATAGACATCATGGAAAAATTACTTGTAAAAATTACATATGTACAGTTTGACACTGACTTACATGTGCTTGGCACAGCCAAAAAGTCACAAGTTCACTTACCAAAATTCACTTAACCATGCTAGAATGAACACCTCAAACTTGCATTTCAAATCCAATTCTATATTTTTAATGAAAGTATGTTATTTCCATTTTTGCTTAGTCTTCACAAGATTTGTGTCTATAACTGATTGCTTTATAGATGATTGTATATCTATTTATAATTTGTGATAGTACAGGTGAAATAGGAAAGTGGTTCACCTACATGCCATTATGGCATGACATCTCTGTACATTATTCCTGCCATCACACTTATGTTGTCTGTCCTAGAACAGGTTTGATTGAACATATATATTATTCATCACACTTTTAATGAAATTTATATTGATTTTATTTTATTATTATTTTTTTAAGGAAGCAGATCTCCTTTAACAAAAAGGGAAGTCTTATAGCTGGCTTAAAATACTGTCCTAAAGAGATCTAATGTATTTTTGAAAGCAATAAACCAGCACTTAATACAAAGTATGAGAATTTTTAGAAATACTTCAGTTTTCAAACTCAGCACAAATTTGTCTGTACTTTGTCTGTTTTTAATCGGGGATATTTTGCAGAGGTTCAGTTGTCTATAGGTTAGAAAGTATCTGTTCTCAAAATAGATTTTTGTACATTTCTGTGTTGCTTTATAGTAAACTAAGAAAAAAAAGCAAATGTGAAGTTTCTGATATCTAGACGCTTCATAAAAAATAGCACAGCTTATCAAAAAGACACTGACTGATTTTTCTTTTAATTTGGAGAAATGTCCTGCTCTCGGTGAAGGAAGTTTAGGAAAGCAAGTTTATGTCCGATGATCATTTTCAACCACGACATCATTTCCTCCTCCTTTTGAACAATAACTATTAAAACAATAGCTCTTGATGCTTGCCATATAACTCAATATTTGTGTTCTTTTCCATTACTGTCCAGGTATTTGTGCTTAGATACTCTTTTTCCTTATCTGACTTAAATGGGTAATTTCTAAGTATACTGTTATTTCATAGTAAGTGTGTTGTTCCATATGAATTTGAAGAAAAGACCATGCCATACCTTGCATGAAAATGGAGCAGATTTTTAGGATCAACAGCAGAGCCCTTAGACACCCTGGAGAAAGTTAAGGACAGGGAGAGGGGTTCTTGTGATAAACACAGCAGAAAATATCTATGAAAATAGGAAGAGAGCAAAGAGTAGAAAGAATCATGGAATTAATGAGACAACAGCAGAGGTAAATGATGAATTGTGATTAAGGTAACTGATATCATAAAGGATGAGATCAGAATACTGTATTTGAATTTTGGCTAGACAAAAGTCATTAAAGACCCTTTACAAAGGGCAGCTCCAATAGAATAAACCAGTGGAAGATAAATGGAAGGAACAGTGGAAGAAAGGGAGGGACAGTAGAATTGACTGCGGTCAGTGTGGCACAGGGCTGGAGGAAGAGAGAGAATTCTGAGGGAGAATGAAGAATGTTTTTTATGAGAGGAACTAAAGGCCTTTGTGTTTTGAAGGTGAATGAAGAATGAGAAGGGAATGAGAAACAAAGTAGCAGAGCTGTTTAGAAATTGAAACTGGGGTAAGGCAGATTGCATCATGGGACCAACTGAGGAATTCAAGGAAGAAATCAGAACAGAGATACCCATGCCTGGGAAGGAAGAATTATAGAATCAGAAGAGAAAGTTGGAAAGGAAAGGGAAAGGGTTATGCTGAAAGTAGTCATTTGTGTAGGAAAGAAATCTTTCAAGATCTTATTTGGAAAGTGACATAGCAACTTAAACATTTCATTTAAAATAGACTTTTTTTTTTTTCTTTACCATGTAGTGCAAAAACCTAGAAAAACTATCAGCTTCCAGATATATTTGCAGACTTCAAACTAACATCAATATGAGAACAGTCTGCAGAAGCTTCATTTTTAAGTTAGGAGTGAAAGAGACCTGTTAGGTTGTCCAGTGTATTCCCATGCTGAATTGTGTTTTTTTTTTTTTTTTTTTTTCCTACCATAATTTCTCCTGTGCTTTATCCTATCTGCTATCAGATGTCTCTGGGGAAAAGACTATTTTCTTAAATCTCAGCTCTCATGAGACTTAAGTAATGCATTCATTTTTCAAAATTAAAACTGATCAATGTTTAACATTTTTATTATCATTACTATGATGTTTCATTCTGGTTGGCAATTGCAGAAAGAGGTTGCTGTAGCAGCCTCTGTAATCATAGAATCATTTAGGTTGGAAAAGACCTATAAGATCATCTAGTTCAGCCTTTAACCTATCATATGGAATATGTTTTATTTTAAAGTATGTTAGATCAGGGAAAGTGAATGGAAGAAGATCTTGTGATAACTTTGCAATCTCCTTATCCCTGATCACAAATATTTTTGTATGATTATTACAAAGCACATCATACTTAAGATGAAAAATGCAAAATGAATTCTGTTTATAATTAGTTCACAAAGACATCTGCGGATTAACAATGCACATTGTGCAGATATTTCCTGTGTTTATCCTGATTCATGTAGCATAGGAGGAATGTGTCAAAGACAGGTCAATTTATATCATTTTTTCCTTCTATAAATGTTCACTGCTGTGCAACTAAAGATTTAATTGACTGACAAAGTGAACTGTTTCCTGGCAAAAAAATAACAAAAGAAAAAATGTTCAGATTGAATTCCTCCCTGATAAGCTCACTGAATCTGACAAGAATAAACTAAAATGAATTTGTTTCCTTTGATAACTGTTTTGACAACACTGCTCTGATTGCTGCAAATTTATTGCAAAGGAAAAACAATTTGCTTAAAACAGATTAAATTACAACTGCTAGATTAAATTGAATTTTGTTGTCAAAGTATAGAGTTTATTCTCTGAAAGAATTCACTGAGTAATGGGACCCAGTTTAGTACTGTAATTGAGAATAGCTGTATGAGAGTGATCAGACACTGTTGTTTTCAGCTTCTGTTGAAGTAAAAAATGTAAATTTATCATCTAAAATAAGCTGTAGAAATCTTTCCAGTGAAGGTGTTGGTCTCTTAAAGCTTAGGTGCTTGGCTTCTAGGAACAGTGCCTGGTATTATCCTGACAAGTGTGAAAATTCATTAGGGAGATGTGTGTTTCTACACAGCCAAGCACTGTAATGGAGCTCTGTATGAACCCTGAAGGTTTTTTTTTGTCATGAAAGAGATCATAAAGACACATGGGGTTCAGGACTGATAGCTGTGTTGTCATGTTCAAAGCAGTTTTATTTCTTTTCTGTGGATGCCCAAGTGTATGTCTACCTATGATAAGATTCACCTTGGAAAGTAGATGTGTTCTGGGGAATTATCTAGGGCTGCCAAACAGTCTAACTGTATTCCTCACTATTGTCATCTCCTAGTTACGTGACTACCCCATGTCCTTCAGCATGCAGTCAGCACCTCATGTAACGTTTCGCATCCACTCACTTGTGGCTGGAATTTAACAGTGACCGTCAATTTATGCCATGTGCTAGTATCCCAAACCATGAAGCTATATAGAGCACTTCTTTTCTCCTCTATTTACATCTCCCAGATTTTTTTACTTCATACTCATGCAGCACAGAGAGTGACACGTATGATGAAGGTAGAATCAAGTCATCCTTCACGCATTAAATCTCTGATTACGTAGTTATTCTACTTTTCTTAGCAAGTGGCAGTATTTCCATCATTTCTTATATTTATTCAAAGCTTCAACCTCTTTCATGATATCTAGCAGTTTCACAAATGCATTTGACCAGGTTGAATTGTTTTCCTAAAAAGTAATAATTGCAGTTGAGTCCCCCATCTGGGGGGGTAATTGTTACCTTCTGGGTATGGATAGCCTTTCTCTTTGCTAAACGGCTTTATTTTGATAAAGCACTCAATGCCTCTCTTCAACAGGGGCTAAGTATCTTCTGGAAATCACTGACAGGTTGTGTATGTCCATAACACATCTTGTGTAAGAGTGGCCTGGAAGAAACTAGATAAATTCTGTTATTCTGACCAGCAGTCTAGGTTGTGTTTTCTGTATCATGGCTACTCTGGTTTCTGAAATGCTGAATAAGCACCTGTAGTCATTTGTACACTTAATCTGCAAGGATGTAACGCAGAGAGGAAATCTCTAAGAAAAGAAAGGCTGTAATCAATTCTGTATTGATCAAAATTCATGCTTTGAATTTTGAACTCAAAAAGTATTTTATAGCATGTAGTGCAGTCCAGTTAAATAGGGCCTGGCTGTGTGACTCGCTAAGGATACCTAACTGCAAAGCATTTTGCCAAATTCCCCTTAGTGGTGAAGATATCTCCGAAGTGGGAACAAAGGGCACAATCATTTTGCTCCAAGACTCCAGACTTTGATTTTTTTTTGCCTGATTGCAATGTGTACAGTGTCTGTGATTGTTGTTGCATGTGCTTGGTTTGTGCCTTCTTTTCTGGACTACCCAGCGGATGATTTTGTCTGAGCAGCCATACAATACGCTGGGGGGGTGTCTAAGTATGCACAACGTGTTCAAGCTGGTTCCATGCAAGAGGAAACAATATTCATCGGTGTTCTTTCTAAGCCTTGGAATCTATGAAGTATTTTAAGTATGATAACAGAGCTTTGAACAGAATGGCAAGTAATTTACAACAGATTTTCATATATGAGTTCTGTTAATTTCTTTGCAATGAGATTGCCACTAAGAAAGATTACCCTTCAGAGATATTTGTTATAGCTATACTGCAGCAAATATCAAGATAGTATATGTAAAATTTTCTCACTCATTTTTTGACTTGGCTTGAAAGCATTCCATAAAAGGTCTAAAATTTTGGCTGAGCCACTGGCTCTTGGCAGTAGCAATATTAAAGTAGACAGAGTAATGTACTGTATATTTTATTTAATAAAAGCAGTCAATTTAGCTTCTGTTCCTTTCCACTAGTAAAATCATGTGACCAATCCAAAGATAATAAATAATTTGAAACTATCTTCTGTCTTTAGAGAAAAAGGACGAAATTTATTGCCTGTGATTTCCTAACAGAGTGGTTATACAAGTAAGTTGATCATGGCTTTTACTATTAATTATGCCCAGTGATTCAAATACATTAATTTACAAATTGAATAGCTGCAATTTAAACAAAGTTGTTTTCTTTTTTTTTTTTTTTCCATTATCAGCCACAACCCAAAGAGGAAAGATGAGTCATTCACAGAATTCTTTTCCATTCCTTTTGTTAACAACTGGCTAAAGATCCAGTAAGTTATTGCAGTACTCAGAGTAACCTTTTATCTTTTTATTCTTTTCCTTCAGTTATTACAAAAAAGTAATAGAGCTTCAATGCATTATAATTTTCCCCTCTGAATGCCCATTATTGTGTGCAGCAGAGAACTATGTGATGCTTTCTAACTTTGCCATGCATTAGTTGCAAGGTATTTTGTACCGGCATTGTTCTCAGATAAATTGGTTTAGAATTCTTAAACATTTTAATTGTTGCAGAGTGTGGGACATTTGAATAGCCTCGTAGCATTGTGAATATCTTTCTCTTAAGGAACAAAGCAATGTTTTCAGTGTTGCTGTGGAAATATTTGAGGATACGTAGTCTAGAAATTCTTTCCCTAGCTGTAAGTAGCAGTTTTGAAAATACCTGTAATAATTCTTGGCATTAGAATGCATTTATGCTGATATTTATGACTTTGCATTTGAGAAATGAACATTTCTTTTGGCAGTCTCAGTCTTAGGTTCCTCATTATTACTGTAGAACCAAGCTACACATCAGTTTTGAGAAAATGTTACCGTCCTTGAGGTTACGGTTTGATTTCAATCTAGCTGTTGTATGAGAAAAGAGAAGTAATATGCTACAGTGAGAGAATAAAAAAAAAAAAAGAAGGTTAGATTTGGAAGAATTTTTCTGTTAGAAAACTTAATTGGAGACTAGATTGGTGGTTGGTTAAAACTTAGAGATGAGCATCTTTGCAGGCATGTTTGTTTTATTATGCTACTTACGTGGAAATTGAGCTTTCTTGAACTTCTGTCATGTGAAATTTAGAGTAAAATCCTTTGGAGAAGCTTTAAGCTTTGAGTCAGAGTAAAGCTCATTGGCATTTACTGGTCTTTGGAGACAAATTGGTGATTGAGGCACAGTTACCTTTGGCTATCTTAGAGGTAGTCATGTAGTTAAAGCTGTGTAGGAAGCTTCTGAGCTTCTTTCTGTGATGACCCAGTTCATCTCAACTCTGTTATGTTCAGGTACCTGCTGCCACATCATACTGCCCAGCCACTGTTGTTCAAACCTACCATTGATGGGACTCTTGTAATAGTTTCATTCTCTAAATTACTTGGCCTTGCCAACAAAATTCCTGTTTAATGCAGTAGGGTTGTCCTACTCATTTCTTAAGCATACTGAGGAGCCATTGGACAGTAAGGCAATTCTGATACCATCGAATTGTGAGGATGGACATCTGTACCTGATCTGATAACAAAGATCAGTTTTACAAACATTTCCTCTTGGAAGTAAAGGTGACCTAAGTTGTTCTCTGCTCTCTCCTGTTCTTCAGCATGCTTCTAGCCAGCCTAATATCACCCTGTTGGGGAGGATGCTTGGTTATGCTGATCAGGGACTTCCCCTGAGCTAGAAATGCCTCTGCCAAAATATGAGGGGTTTGTATAGCTATTTAAATTGTAGATTGTTTCTCCAATCTGGTTCACCTGGGAGCCAGGCAGGCCTTTGCATTGGCACAAATGAAAGATTAAAATGAAGGGCTTGGGGCAAGGTGAAGAGAACAAATGAGCCAGTAAGATATAGAGGTGGTAGCAGGAACTGCTTAAGTCAGCTTTGCCAACAAGAGAAATACACTGTGGAATCACAGCCTGAATGACTCATAGCTTCTGTTCGGACTTGGGCTCCTGAATAACATAGTGACGGATCCACAAGGACACTGAAGAGTCAGAGTCCTATTTAAATTGATACACATTTGATCTGAAATCCTCTAAACAATTAGGCCTTTAAAAATAAATTACTAAAAATCAGCTTTTTGTGAACACATTAAAATTACAGATTTCTCAACAAGTATTGCTTATGAAGTAATCATTATTAGAGCAAACTGAAAGATTGCAATATTAAATGGGAATGAGAATGTATTATTATGTCCTGGATATGACATTTAAAATGTAATTGAATCTGTACATTTTATTGTCACTTCCATTTTTAACTGTAGTACAGGTTTTATGTTTTAATAGGATCAGAATATATGTAACAGAATATGCTAAAAATTGTTGGTCAGGTTTTCATGGGAAACATCCTTATTCCAACCTTTTAGATGGTATATTAAAGAAACAGAAGAAAAAGGTGTTGCTACAGGTTTAAGGAGTAAACTCTTCTGTTGATTTTTTAGTTACATGTCTGAATTTGAAAAGCATAATGGAAGGTCTGTTAAAGAGGAACATATTTCTGTACCGTATTAAAATAGGATTTATGATTGTGAAACCGTCTTTATGCTTAAAAATATATAAATAAATAAAAACAAAAAAAAGAAGGTTAAGTATTTCTTCTGCAGAGATCCAGCTTTTTTAATATATTCCATACTTGAGTACGACTTTTTTTGGCTCTCTTCCAGTGCCTCCAGTTTTTTCTTTGATGTTAATTTTTTTAAGAATAGTCAAAGCCACAGTCTTATGAGCCTCACTCACCATATGATGTGTTTCTAAATGAAATCTTGCAGCCTTACTTTTTCTTTAAAAGGAGAGCCAAACACTGCATCAGCTTCCAGAATTTTGAATGCAAACATTGTAGCTTCAAAAGCTGGTTGTAGGTGAAGAAGTTTGTAAAATTACTTCAAATTTGTTTCCAGCTTTAGTATTTACAATAATTGCTATGACATCATTAGATAAAAGCCTTAGTATAGTTACCTTGTCTTCCATTGTGCCCCGTATCGTACCAACAGCACTGACAAAATATTACATCCCGTGGGAATCCTTGATTACTGAAGCAGATTTCAAAAACATGAGAAGGAGCAGCTTCAACGCTGACTGGTAATCTGCGTTTCACTTCCAGCAGAGCACAAAGCATTTGTATTGTCTTAAAGATACTTTAAGACAACGCAATTTGTGTTGTCTAAAGCTGTACCTTTTAGAAGACAGAAAGCTGTAGTTTTAACAGGCAACTAACAAAAGTTTTTCGAAACTTACTGGCATACATACTGATGTCCCTATCCTACATTCAAGACCAATGATATAGTCAAATAAATACATCTAATTAAAGTCTTGGATGTTTTTGCACTCCTTCTTTAAACATGCTAATGAGGAACACAGTTGCCTTTTGTCGGTATTTGCCAGTGGTGTTTCTGGTTGAATAGCAGTGAAGCTCAATCACAAGTAACCAGACTGTATATACTGAACCAGGGAGAAGGAAAGAGCTTGACCTGTGTTTATGCCCTGATCCTACTTCATCTTTGCTTTTCTACCATAGATAGGCTGAGATTTTGAGCATCACAGGAGCATCATTAGCCAACCCTCTTGAGTCTATTTAATGGAAGAAATAGGTAGAAAACAATTTTAAATAAAAATGTTCCACTGCTTTGAAAAATACTGGCATTATAAATGTCTGCTGTCACATGGATTTAATAATATGACAGTATCATTCAAGTTCATCTTCTAACTTACGTTCAGTGAAGGAAAATGGTGTATGGATCTGGGTTAGTAATAACTGTGTGTATCTTTCTGGCTGTTGCAGATTAGTCTTTGCTTATATTACAGGGATTATAGGAACTGAAGAAGCCTTTTATAAATAAACATTTGTTTGCAAGAGCTGATTTATCTGCATTTCCTCATTTTCTGTATAAAGATATTTACTTGATACTCAGTTCCGAAGGTCACATTTCCTGGTTTAATATCTGTGTATACTGAAACAAATGTGCAGGTATAGAGCAAATAAATTTATCATTGCTTTAATAAAGTGGCCAGATTATATTTATTTATTTATTTATAAATGATTACTAAATATGAAGTAGTGGCTTTTTGCCAAATATCTGCATATGAATTTATACGCATTGATTTTTTTTTCCCTTCATCCATTCCCAGTATTCTAATTAGACAAAGCGTGCTGGTCTCAGCTGCCTTTACAGTTGACTTCATTGTCAGTTCTCAGATGGCCAATAGGGGTAATTTTGCATGGGTGACTGATTTCTTTCTTTCCATAACATGCCCATTTTCTACAGGCTTTGCTTTCTGCACACTTGTATTTCACTGGTCTATGTCTAAACTAGCCTTTTTTAGTATACATTTAATTTTCATGATGCTTTCTCTTTATTTTTCTCTTAATAATTTGATCTTTACCTTTTTAGTGTAATGAGCAGCATCTTTACTTATTATAATAGAAAAATCCAACAAATATGTCTGTATGGATTTTATTCTTTGTGGATCTAAGCAAAGAATTGAATTCTTCCATGTTACTGGAATGTCAAATTAATGAAGGAGAAAATTTTTGATTTAAAAACAGTGTTTTGGAAAATTGCATTGTCAGAACTTATGTCACAAAGTTTATATATAAAATATTTATATTGCATAATGGTGTTTTATGAGGCTGAGGTTTTATAGCTACAAATCCTGATGCAGCACCATAACTTGCCTTAATTTATGTAAAGATTGTCAAAATGGCAATGAGAAAATTGAAACTGTGTTAGTGGTTTGTGATGTCTTCCTAATGTTGCTGTTAGAGCACTAATTAGAGACTATTGATACTGCTGTTCATTGTTAATGTTCATAGGATATGAGGTCTGATTTAAAGTATACAAACATAAATGAAAAATTCTCCACTGACATCAGTGGACTTTGGAATGGGTCTATGGTTTCCTTCAGTCCAGTGCTGCACTCTTAAAGAATGCATAAATATTGTTCCCACAAAGGAGAGAACTGAGGCAACAAAGGGAGAGCTGAGTTTTATCATTAAAATGGATAAGTTCTGCACATGTAGAGAGCATATGAAGGGGGAAGAAAGCCACTATAGTTTTCAGACAGAAACTAAGACAAAAGATACTTCTTGTGTTATTATTTTGGCTTCTTGCTGTGCTTTCTCTTCTTCTTCTTCTTCTTCTTTTGTTGTTCTCTTGTATTCTTGTTACCATTCACCTGTTCTACCTCATTCTCTGTTATATGACTCTGCGTCCTTACTTAGCAAATGTCTCATGTTAGTTCCATACCATATTTTCTTTTTACTACATCTTTCCTTCATTATAAATAGGTAGATAACTATATCAATAGT